AATCACTTAACCAAATGTTTTTCCATGAAAATCTGCCAAAAATCGCTTCTGCTCAAGCTCAAGTTCGTCAAAAATGGTAAATGCGACGAAATCCTCAGTTTTATAAACTGCCAATGCAGCCATCGATCCTGGGTATCGATCATGGTTTCGATCTTTATGGCCATCGATCCTGGGCCTTCGATCCTGCCATCGATCATGGCCCTCGAGCTGGGCTTTCGATCATGCCTTCGATCATGGGCCTTCGATCATGACCCTCGAGCCCTACCTTCGATCATGACCCTCGATCTTGGGTCTCGATCATGGGCTCGATCACAGCCCAGAATTTCCAAGAGAAGAGAAAACTTTCAATACCTGTTTTAAGTCCAACTTTTGATCCGTTAACCATCCGAAACTCACCCGAGGCCCTCGGGACCTCAACCAAATATATCAACAAATCCTAAAATATCATACGAACTTATTTGAAACCTCAAATAACATAAAACGATGCTAAAACCACGAATTATGCTCCAATTCAAGTTTAATGAAACTTAAAATTTTCAACTTCGACATTCGATGTCGTAGCCTATCAAATCAAGTCCGATTGACCTAAAATTTTTCACACAAGTCATAAATGATATAGCGGGGCTATAAAAATTACTGAATTTCGACTCAGATATCCAAAAAGTCAACTCCCCGGTCAAACTTCCAAACTTAAATTCCTATTTTAGACATTTTAAGCCTAATTTAACTACGGACATCCAAATAAAATTCTGAACACGCTCCTAAGTCCAAAATCACCATACGGAGCTGTTGGAATCGTCAAAATTTTATTCCGGTGTCGCTTTCTCAAAATGTTGACCGAAGTCAAATTTGACCTTTTAAAGCCATCTTAAGGAACCAAGTGTTCCGATTTCAACCCAAACACTTCCAAATCCCGAACCAACCATCCCCGCAAGACATAAATCATTAAAAGTACATACGAAAAGTTTTATTTTAGGGAACGAGGTTCTAAAAGTCAAAATGACCGGTTGGGTCATTACAATCTCAGACTATCATAGATCGTGTTTTCTAGACTTGTGATGTATAGATGCTCATGTACTCTGTGACACCCCGATAGTTGGGAATTCCGCATTATGTTTTGAATTTTTTATCCCGGTTATGAGTTTTTACTATTAAAACTGCTCTAAATTCATTCTTGTTAATAGTGTTGGAAATATTTGTGAGAAATCGGCTTGCCTAGTACCACGTTAGGCGCCATCATGATAGATTAGGATTTTGGGTCATGACAATAGATATGGATTATAACTTTATAACCAATGACCTTTGACCAAATAGCAATGAGCAAATAACTATATCTAAGGTTTGATATCTTTTACGGCAAACACGCGCGTGGAGTTATATTATGTGTTGGTAACTTGCCAACTTAAAATATAATAGGTTTCGGATTAAGTAACTTTTAATATATAAAAATTATTACTTCCTTAAAAAAATGTAAATATTTCTTTCTCTTTTTTTGTTCATTATTACTTACCATTATTGCATTATTCATTATTTGGTATCTTTATATTTTTATGTTGCCTCTATTAGTTTACTATTTGATAAAATATCCTTTCTTAATATAAAAAGTATTTTACTTGTAATTCAAATATCCTTATTTTATTTATTAAATTATAATTTTGCATTCATTAAAAATATAAAGAGAGAACCCTTTTATTATTTTGTTCAAAAGTCTAAAGAGATGAGCCTTCTGTTAATTACATTCTGTAATTGTCTACATTTACAAATAATACTTATGTATATTATTTACTATTTTATAATTTTTTCTTGGTTATTTTTTTGGCGTTTAAATTTTTTTCATGAATAATTGTTAAATTTATCAAGTGGCTTTTGTAATATCTTGACACTTGGCTTAATCTTATGAATGACTTTTTTTTGTTCAAAAATTTCTAAGTGATTTTTTATTATGTTACCACTTGGCTTAATATGGTATTTTTGTCTCTCCTTTTATTATATATTGATAAGATATAACTGCATAGTAATTTCTATTATATCTTTATATTTTTTATTTATTTCTTGTAATTATTGTATGTTTTTGTCATTAGTTTTATCTATTATAATATTTTTAGTTAAGTGAACTTATACATATAGCATGACCATATGAATTATTATTCAAAAAATTTCTCATCTAAAAAAATAAATTAGTCTCATTCTTTTATATATCTCTACACTGAAGTTATTTATTTATATATTTTCCTCCTTTTTTTTATAATAGTTTCCTTAAAAATATATTGATATTTAATTATTTTTAATTCAAATTCAAAAAAGTAACGAATTATTAACTAATTTTGTCCTAAAATTACCACATGTCTTTCTCCTACACTGTCACTTGGTATAATCTTAGGCTAAACTTCTTTTTAATAATATATAGATAGATATAGATATAGATTAATCTTATGAATGACTATTGTTTTGTTCTAAAATTGCCAAGTAATTTTTTATTATGTTGCCACTTGGCTTAATATGGTGTATTTATCTCACTTTATATTAATATTTAAATACTATTCATTTAATATAATATAGATATGGATTATAACATTATAGCCAATGACCTTTGACCAAATAGCAATGAGCAAATAACTATATCTAAGGTTTGATATCTTTTACGGCAAATATGCGCTTGGAGTTATATTACATATTGGTAAATTGCCAACTTAAAATATAATAGGTTTTAGAATAAGTAACTTTTAATATATAAGAATTATTACTTCCTTAAAAAAATTGTAAATATTTCTTTCTCTTTTTTGTTAATTATTTGCATTATTCATTATTTGGTATCTTTATATTTTTATGTTACCTCTATTAGTTTACTATTTGATAAAATATCCTTTCTTAATATAAAAAGTATTTTACTTGTAATTAAAATATCCTTAATTTTTTTTATTAAATTATAATTTTGAATTCATTAAAAATAAAAAGAGAGAAGCCTTTTATTATATTGTTCAAAAGTCTAAAGAGATAAGCCTTCCATTAATTACATTCTTTAATTGTCTACATTTACAAATAATACTTCTGTATATTATTTACTGATTTTATAAAAAAATAATTGGTTCTTTGTTTTAGTGTTTAAATTATTTTCATGAATAATTTTTAAATTTATCAAGTGGCTTTGTAGTATCTTGACACTTGGTTTAATCTTATGAATGACTATTCTTTTGTTCAAACATTTCTAAGTGATTTTTTATTATGTTGCCACTTGGCTTAATATGGTGTATTTGTCTCTCCTTTTATTATATATAGATAAGATATAACTACATAATAATTTATATTATATCTTTATATTTTTTATTTACTTTTTGTAATTATTGTTTATATTTTTGCCATTAGTTTTATCTCTTATAATATTTTTAGTTGAGTGATCTTATACATATAGCATGACCATATGAATTATTATTCAAAAACTTTTATCACAAAAAATAAATTAATCTCATCCTTTTATATTTCTCTACGCTGAAATTATTTATTTATATATTTTTCCTCCGTTTTGTATAATAGTTTTGTTAAAAATATATTTATATTTAATTTTTTTTAAATCAAATTCAAAAAAGCAATTAATTATTAACTAATCTAACTAATTTTGTTCTAAAACTACCGCATGTCTTTCTCTTACGCTGCCACTTGGCATAATCTTAGGATATATAGATACATAGATAGATACAGACTTATTAATTATCAGAAGGAAAAACTTTCACATCGACTTAACCCCCAGTACCAGTATAAAAATCTCCAGTTTAGTTTCTTTTCAAGCCTTGCTCTTGAAATTTTGATTTCCTTTTTAAGTTCACTTGTCAACTTCACCACATTAGTATCTTAAATAAATTTACCAAATTTGGAGAAAAGAAAAAAATGTATAGACATGGAGACAAACAACCGTTGAATTTCTGAAACGGAAAATTTGTGCTTTTGATCTCTCAATCAGTACTAAATTTAATTGTGATCTATATTTGACTAAGCACATTTAGTGGGCGTTTGGACATAAGAATTGTAAAAATTCGAAAGTAAATTTTTGAAAATGATATTTGAAAATTAGAGTTATGTTTGGACATGAATACAATTTTGGGTTATTTTTTGAATTTTTGTGAGTGATCTAAAGTGAATTTTGAAAAATCGAAAATTTTCGAAATTCATATTCAAGTGAAAGTTGAAAATTTTATGACCAAACATTGATTTCGAAAAAAATGAATATTTTTTTAAAAAAGTGAAAAAAATTGTATGGCCAAGCGGGCTCTTAAATTTTTTATTAAGATAATTGTGCACTTACAGACAGTCTCTCGGCTGACAAGTTTCTACAAATTTCATAGACTTTTACCTTAAGAAATACAAGTATAGGTTAACTTTCTCTTAGCATAAACAATGAACATTCACATGCTTTAACAATTAAAACTTCATTGAATTTGTAGAAAATTATTAGTGGATCGACTGAAAGAATTCACTAATAACGGGTTAAATGTACATAATCAATTAGATAAACAAGCAATCAACTATGTCATCTTCAAACTAGTTAGAGATAATCAATATGAATTCTCTATAATATTACGACACCAAAGTTAGAATTTTTCAATAATTAAGTGATCAAAAGCACAAATTTTCCCTCTTCTTGATATTAAGCTAGCATTTGGACATAAATTTGGTTGACACTTGTAAAAAGAATTTTTGAAAAATAATTTTTGAAAGTTGAAACTATATTTGAATATGCATTTTATTTGAAAAAACTTGAAGTTTTGTGAGTGGAACATACAATTTTTGGGAACTTGGAAAAAAAATCAATTTTTTTTCAAAAACCTGATCATGTTTCAAAAAGATTCACCAAAAAACTGCCTTAAATCATGTTTCATCATGAACAAACTGTATTTTTTTTTCAAAACACATACCTAAAATCTATGGCTAAACGGGGGCTAAAAACATATAAATAGAACAATAGTTGTGAGAAAAGGAAGCAACAAAATTAATGACTACCACAAAAAATAAGAGTTAACAAGCCACCTTTGCATATATAACATACAATATGACATGAAATGATGAGTTGTAAACTACACTACAAATGAAAGGAAGAAAGAGCGAGGTCACCGTGACAGGAATTCTTTTTATTTAACCATTCAGTATCTGAAACTCAATAACCCGAGTATTTCTAATCCATATTAGGGCGAGAAAAATGACGCGAAGCCGGGCTCGTATGGAAAGAATTAGGCCTCCATGCAGAAGCAGTAAACAAGCAAAGATCTTTCCAACCAAGTTTAAGAGTGCCATTATCCTCAACCAAAGTGTATCCATGGGAAGGAAACATTCCTAGCAAAAGAGTAGCTTGGGCTGCAGCATTACCGGCAAGAGATATGGACCTAAAGCCAGATTGTTGTAGCTTTTCTCTCCAATTGTTGAACTTTACTTCGCCGCTCCTAGACGGACCACCTACGGCTAACACGTTCCGAATCTCCTTTGACAAAAGCTGTTGTTCCACGACGTGTCTCTCTTCGCTCTCTTCCCCGTAGCACGCGCCCAGCGAGTCGAATAGAGCTGAGTAGTAATGTATTGCCTCCACAAACCTCCCTAAGAATGAACCCGCGTGGCTCAGGTCCTGCTCCACTACCGTCACCACCTTCGGAGCCAACCTGAATTTAAAGCATGCACATTTAAACCAAATCCACATACTCCAGATAAATGCCCAGTGTAATTGCGCATAGTGAGGTATGGGAGGAGAGTGTGTACACATGGGGGAATGCATGTATAATAAAGCGGTGTTACATGACACCGCCTCGCCAAAAGATTTTACCAGATGACCTCCTATAAACAGAAATTTTTTATAACCAGGGTGCTAACGCCCAATCTAACTTGTACTAAGGAGAAAATAAATAATATTGGAATTAGATTATCTGTTCCCTTCTTTAAATATGACACTGTTTGCAAAAAGTTCTGTATATGACACTGTGTGTACGCAAACGTTACTTCTACCCTTACGGAGGGAAGTTATTTCCAATAGATACTCGGCTCAAGGAAAATCCACTTACTCCGGATATTTACATATAGTAAAAATAGTTCATGACATGTGGTAAATAACTTTTTCTCTCTATCGTTTCTATTGTTTTGGATCGCGCTGCCTCAGAATTTTTACATGTTTAGACTTTTTGTTTTTTGGTCTAAGAAAGCAAGTAAAAAAAGAAGAAAATTCAAGAAAAACTAATTAGGCACGAAGGATTGAGTAATACACCCGAGTCAAATTGGTGCATTGACATAGAAGACAGCTTTTGCTGCTAAAGTAATTGGCCTTTTTCTTCTCTTTTATCCTTCTTCGGTTTTCTGCTTTATTGAGAAATGGAAATATCACCAGCAGTGAAAGAGAAAGATCTTTACGTTATATACATAGGAAATATAAATACTACTGTACTAGTAATTGGTGCAATGCATCATTTTTCTTTTAATTATCATAGATTTTTACAATATTGGTATTGGAGGTTTTTAAGAAGTCTTATTTAATTTCCGGTGAAATTTTGCTAAGTAGTAGGCCAAGTCACCAATATCACATAAAGATTCGTTTTTCATTGCGTTAAACCACATGTTGGTTCTATAATTTAAACTTTTAATTGCATATAGTTAGATACTATCTAGTACTAATATTAAACATGCATGTGAAAGCATTTCTATGGCTACAAAATTATGCTGTTAAAGGTAATGAAAAGTTTAAAATTAAAATTTTCCAAGTATAGAAGGTATAGAAAGAATTTCATAAAGTGTTGATTCTCTCCAACCTTTTCTATGTCATTCTTCTTGAATCAAGATTTAAAAAAGGTGTAGAGGGAGTAATAGTACCTTTGCAAGAGGGAGAGAGTATTAGAGTCGCTGCCAGTGACATCGTAGAGAGAATGTTGCAACCAATGAACGGCAACAGCTTCTCTTTTACTCACATTCAATTTCTCAGGCTGTAAGTTCCCAACTTTATCGGCTACAGGTAAAAACTCGAAAGGAAGCCCTAATCTCTCAGCAAAATCGGACAATCGTTTGCCTGTAGCTTCAAGAGCATCCATTGAAGTTCCGAGCCCGGTGAGACGAACAAATGGAGGCCCACCGGGCCTGGAAGCCAATATATGAAAGAGGCCGGGCCATTGAAGACCTTGCATAATATCAAGGTCTATGATATGAACCCGGTCTTCTCTCTCGAAAGCTTCTTGAATAGCTTGATTGGCTGTGAAATGAGAGAATTTAATGAATGGGCTGATCCCGTTAAACACCTGGAAAGCGGACGCCATTTTCTGAGTGTAAAGTACGGGGATGCTGCTTACTGGTAGCGCTGCATATATTCCTAAGCATGAATTTAATAGCCTTGCTGATATTGCCTCTGAGAAATATGCAGCAACGCGCTGTGCGGATGTACCAAAGGGCGTTGAGAGTTCGGAAACTTCCAGTAGCATTTTATTTGCTTCCTCCAAATTATCAGCTGATACTGCTTCAGCACATTGCAAGAGTAAGGTTAAGAGATGGAGTCCGTCTTCATCCCTCTTCTGTTGTCGCTCTTCTTCCTTTTTCTCTCGGTATGTATTGACTGGAACTACAGGTGTTGTAGTTTTTGTCTTGCCACTCTCAGTCGCCGATGTTGGAGATAGAGAAGTACTAGAAGATTGTTGCTGCTTTTGTTGTTCTAAGTCTATGGCAACCTGTTGCTGAGAATGAGAAGACTCTTGCTGCTGCTGTTGCTGTTGTTGCTGCAATTGAGGAGAAAGAATCGGAGGAGACGTAACAAAGGAAAGATCTGCAGTTGCAGTGGGATTATTGTTGCTGCTAATCTGCTGGTGCTGGTTCAGAGAAGGTGCAACCGGAGCAGCTATATCCCAGTTTAAGTAGTGGTTATTTGATGAATCCGGAATGGACAAAATATTGTTGTGCTGCAATAAAATGGGATTTAGATTTTGGCCATGTTGTAAACTCGCAAGCTGCGGCAACACTCCTTCCTTTCTTCTCCAGAATTCCATGGCGGCCGCATCATTTTGAACATCAGCACTAGCACCATTATTATTGTTATTATTATTATTATTATTATTATTATTATTACTAGTGAGAGAGCGAAGCCTGTATTCCAGTAGGGACGCGAGATATGGATTACAAGGATGGATAATTTCCCTTACATTCTGGATCAGCTGAGGTACAGACACTTGAGCTGAGCTGTTGATTAAATCCTTTATAATACCGTCAATCCATGCCGTTGCTGACGTGGCACTTTCCTCCATTGAAGCAGCGGTAGTTGTTAAGGGGGAAGCTAGAACTGCTGCGGCGGTTGCAGGTTGCTGCTGGAGTAGTACGCCGCCGTTTTGGCGGTTTCTATCTGGAGGGAAGAGGGGCAAACCGGAGAAAACACAAACAGATGGAGATTGGTTGTTGTTGTTATGGTTTTGTGGCTGAATATGATGAGATGAAGTTATGGCGTCGGTATAATTAGTTAGGTTTGGGATAGAATTAGAAAAACCAGTGAAATCAGCCCCTTTTGACGTCACGCCGCACACGTTTGTGGAAGAAGGTAACATTTGCATAGTGGAGTAGTTAGAGACGTGACCAAGATTACTAGTTCCACAAGCCCTAAAATCACCTAACTGGGAATGTGACCCGCCTATTGTTACAGGCCGGCGAAGATATCTATTCTCTTCGCCGGCACCGCTCTGGATTTCCATGTCGGACGCCGCCCTCTTTCTCACCATTTTGCTGTTGTCCTTGTCACTGCTGCCGCCGACGTTTGCACTTGTATTGCCCCAGTTGTCACCGTTCGGAGGTAAAGCCTTTGCCATAACGATATACAGATATAAAAGGAGAGAGATAGATATTTGTCAAACGCTGTTGATTTTTCTTCTTCATTATACTGAGATCCAGTCTCGGCTTAATAAAAGCAAACCAGTAGAAACGTTGCTAAGGAGATGATCCAAGCATAAAACGGTGAAAGGATTTAGACAGAGAGAAGCATTGGGATTCTGTGGTTAGTCTCGTCTCCACCTCCACTATTTTCCACCATTTTAATTTCTCCTTTATTTAAAACCCAACACAACACGACCTCCTAGGGCTTGCTTAGCTTACTATACTAATTGTTTATAAACACTTGACTGCTTGCCTTTTGGAATTATATGCAATTTCAGTATTGCCAATGAGAAAGAGGCTGAAGAGGATGGAATTTATTGACGACACAAAGTACTGAAGTTGTTGAAGATTTAATCGCAAAATATTTGTACTACTACATGAGCTATCTTTTTCTCTTTTACCCCTATCCACCTTTTTTCCTAAACTCGTCAATTATTATTGCGGCTCTAGATCTAGCTAGAATTTTTTGTGTATTATGGAACTGAGATTGGAATGCACGTCGACTCACAAACGATCTCGCATTTATACATATTCAATGGGATTAGTTATCCTTTTACATCAGATAATTAATTCTGTTATTTTAGTATAAAGTTGTACCTTAGATTAGCTAATACCCTAAACTATCATCAACAACAATAACATATTCAGTATTATTCCAAATCGTGAGGCCTAGGAAAGATAGTGTGCACGCAAACTTTACCCCTACCTTGTGAGGATAAAAAGACTGTTTCCAATAGAACTCCGGCTAAACCCCAAACGAACATTACCTTTACCTTGTGAGGATAAAGATACTGTTTTAAATAGGCCCACAGCTAAAACCCAAACCAAACATAGGATAAAGTTAATCTCAAACTTTATCCCAGTATTATTATTCTTATCCCATATATCAAACGACTCTTTTAGTATTACGTTAACAGTTTACTGCTTTCACAGTTCAAACTCGTGAGCTATAGATCACACGGATAACTTTATTGTTGTTTCTAAGTGTGGAATCATAGTTTAATAGTATTACACTTTTATAATTATCGAATGAAGAGCAATGAGTCGAAAGGTGAGATGCAAAGGGGGAGGGGTCCAGATGGGTTTTCAAGTTTCTGAGCAGCGACAGTAGAAATAGGCACCTTTTTCTGGCAACGTAGGGGTAGCTGTTGGCTGAAATGATGGAAACTTTTGTTTTCTTCTTCCTTGCTTTCTTTCTCGTCTCGAGGAGTGAGTCGTCTTCGTGTGTTTGACTTTAGCTACTAATTACTTCTTGGCGGAGGACCTTCACAAACCAACATGTAGTAATAAAATACTTTAGAATTTCGCTTTTTTACCACTCCTACTATTTTGTTACAAATATAGTTATATATGTCGCACATTTATCGGATTATAATGAGTTTTGTTGTTATTGTATAATTATATATTTTATATATTTTAATTTAAATGATACATTTTTTTATTAATTTATTTTATAAAATCATGATATATTTTTATATTTAGAAAAAATTACCTTTTAAACTTTTTATTTTATTCACTTTTGCTCTTTAAACTTTTTGCTCACCACTTTAACATATCTCCCAACATCACGCTCCAATTAAAATTACCATGTTCATTTTGTTTGTATAACGATATGGTATCCTGTAGTCATGCTCGTTTCATTTAGATTGGCGTCGTATATCTGGTTGCTATCTTCTTTTTTCTTTTGTTTTTGATTTCTGCTATCTTCTTTTAATTTAAGAGAACTAGTATAGCTATGTAAATTAGCTAATTTATATTAGGTCATTATGGAACGGATTCCCAAGGATTATTGACAGTAAATACAGTCATTACCAATGATAGCTCACAGCTCGAGATAGGATAGCCAAAAAGGTCCTTGGGGGTCCTTGGGGATTGGATACTCAAACATCTCTTTCCATGGAATTGTCGACAAGACGATAAAACAAGTTGTAATGCTGTACAAAAATATCACACATGAAAAATGAAATAAGATTTATAATTGACATAGATATATTCTGTTGAGGGGCTTTTTGGATTTTATTTTGAGTTCGGTTCTAGAAGAATTGGTAGTTTTGGAATGTATTTAAGAACCAAGAACAGCTAGAATCTAATGTTTTAAATCTTAATAAGTAACTAGATTATTGACTGCTAAAATACATTGTTATATCGTTAAACACTTTTTATTCACTTATAGCTAGGGACTCGAATTCGAAAAGGAAAAAAAAAAAAAAAAAAAAAGGAGTAATAAAGATAGAGGTCAAAGTTAGGCAATCATGTAACGAGATCTTAGTCTAATGATTAAAAGAGGGAAAATAAATCAACATTTGAAATTTATCAAAGTATAAATTTATGCCCGGTTACAATATTAATTCATTTCTATGAGCTAGAAAGCCACGATATTTCTAAATTGAATTGAACTTTAAATTTTGATCAACGATACTGATCAAGGGGTGGAAGCCAGCGTTACTCTTGTAAAATAGAAATTTTCAAAAAGATGTGGAGATAATGCCAAAAATAATTGTTGTATTTGGAGGTTGGTTTAAAATAGTCATTTAAATTAAATTTATGTAGCTTTAGTACCTTTAATTTATTAAAAGTTAAACATTTTGTATCTCTTTTATACTTAAAACATACGAGGAGAGTTATATTTAGCGGAATATATTCATGATGAAAAGCATGTAATCTATTTAAGATCAAAAAATTTCTGGACAAAAGTTTTCTGATTCATCTTCTCCAATTTGTACCTTAATTAAGAACAACCCTACTATAAACTTAAAGGAGTAAAGCGGCTCAAGTCTACAATTTAAAAACTACTACTTATATTAGACGAACCATCAAACAAAAAGTACAACTTTTATCAGTTTTTCTAAGAAAGTATATTTCCAACAGAGCAAGAGTACTATTTTTTTTTCGTTTCTATCCGATATTTGATATCTGCATTGAAAAATATATTTTTTTCTTTTAATTGATCTTATATAATACAAATTCAAATTAATCAATATTCGTAGATATTCAAGATCTTTTTTTTTCATAAGCGAGTCAAACTATCTCGTATAAATTAAAATAAATGGAGTAAATGAAGTGTTGAAAAGAAAAACATTTCTAGAGGAAAAAGATGAAAACAAAATGTAAATGAAGTGTGTGAATAGGATTAGATACATTCAAAGAGGGCAGGTAGGGGGGAGAGGACATGTCGAAGAGAGTGTGCAGTGGCTAAGCTAAGGCCAAGGCGGTGTCAGAGGCTCAGCTCAGACCCCGAAAAGTAACGTAGCGTTTGACATTTTGCTTTCAACGGGCATCATCATTCTCAGCTTTTTCTGCCTTTGCTTTTTTCCTCTTTGGATCTTCCCTTCACTTCTTTTTTCTTTCTGTTTTGAGTTTTGACTCTTGCCCCCCTACTACTCTGCAACCCATATAATAATACCTACTCCTTTATCTTGAACTCTCCCCCAGCCCCATGACTAGACCAAATTCTACAAAATCACATTCTACTTTCTATATTACTCATATAATCACATTCTATATTAGTATAATCAAATTCTATAGGAAACAATCTCTCCGTGTCTGCAAAGCAAAGGTAAGGTCTGTATATATACACTACGCTCTTCACATCACACACATGGAGATACACTTAATGTGTTGTTGTTACCTAATAGAGCTACTCTGTATATATATTGCTTGCTTGGTCATATAAAAAAAATTTGATCGATCGAAAAGTACTAGTAAATTTATAAGTTAAAAAGCCTTGTAAATTTATAAGTTTTTTCCTTTTTTTCACCCAAAAAAATTAATTAAATTAGTTATACTTCCATCGTTTCATTTTATGCGAGTATTTTCGAGAGGATGAAAACACTTAATATTCTATATGAATTTAGGTATATTTTCTTTGATTTTTAAAAATATAGTTTACACATCTAAAAGTTACGTGAAAATATAAATTTGTATGGTTATAATAATTTAAAATACTTAAAAAGAGTTCGAAAAATGTACGAGTAGCAAGAAAAATTGATTGTCTCCTCAAATATTAATAATGTGATATAGGACAAAAGAGATGAATTCCTATTTATGACTACTACCATTTGATTGATGACCGTAAGTATTTGATAAAAAAAATTATGACAGCCCACTAAAGCATGCAAGAAGCAAATAGAGTGGCGAATTAGTTTATCTTTATGAGTAAAATTCATTTAAAGTAGCATGCAAGAAGCAAAATTAATGAATTGAAATAAATTAATGCAAGAACTTAGTTTCTCTATTTCAGATTAAAATTGAAAAAATAAGTATTTAAAGTTGAAACTGAAAAAGAATAACCGAATATAGCAAATAACCTCATATATTTTGCTACTTGTTTGAAAGAAAAACAAAATTACTTCTCATGTGTACCACTTGTCAACTTTAGATTAGTAGGACGGGTGTACACGTTGAATGCTAAATTTAAATTTAAGTGATAAAATCAAATAAGATGAACTTCAACATTGAGTTATTAGAGAGACCATTGTTTTACAATTTTTTTTATAATGGTAGTTTGCGTGCACCTTGGCTAATATTTTGCATAATACCTGCTATGTCTTATCAAAATATATATAGAACAATTCTATCCACCAAGACTAAAACGGATGTGGAAAACTCACACTGTTGTTTCGCTTCTATTGGAATTAGAACCTGAAACATCATTATTCTCTCCGTTTTATTGATAATTCGGTCACACCTTTGGGTGCAAGTCCAATAGCGGATCCACGTTATGTGTTATCGGTGCTTAAGCACCCATTCCTTTTGAAAACAAACACTATTACTTATATAGAAAAACTAGTAATTTATACAAATATATTAATTAAGCACTCAGTCTAAGTAGTAATTTTCAAACTAAAAATAGCTTAGCACTTATGATTTAAAAATTCTGGAGCCGCCACTTGTTGCAACCATTGTCCTACAATTTGTATAGATGGAATTGAAATGGAAAACATTGCTCAAGTTCAAACAAGTTATGGAGTAATTCTCGGAAGATCATCATACCACAGCTAGTACACTAAGCAAAACAACATGCAGAATTTACTATACCATCATCACTATAGGCCCAACAAAAAAAAAATGGGCGTACAAGATATCCCGTATTTACGCATGGTCCGGAGAAGAACCGTATTTCAAAGAGTGTGATATAGACAGTCTGTTCTAATATAAGTATTAATGGCTTCTTCCACGGCTCGAACACACAGAGATAACTTTACCTAAGTTAGAGTAATTCTCTATACCAAAACTAGTACTTAGAAATTAGAAAGTGTTGACAACTCCTGTCCCAAAATTCTTGAGTGAGAGTAAGCTTGAGACATGAGTAGAAGCCCAAAAACGACCACTAAAATACTCAATTTTTGTCAAAGTTTTCTTCTCAGGATGATACGTAAACAAGACATCTTCCCCCAACTGAAACATGATCTCTCCATCTTGAAAAACTTTCAATACCTGTACCATTGTGTAGCAAAACCAATTGCACTCTGGGATTATGTTTATGACAATTTCTTTGGTCCAAGAACTTTGCACTCCATATTCTTTCATTACCCATATATCGAGATGACTTTTCGTGTTATTGTCACATAGGCAAAGATAATTTCCCAACACTCCCAAACTCCTATAATCTTGGTAGTCTCTATTGGTGTGAACTCGTGGTGCGGGTAAGTTTTTACGTTTCCTCTTGTTAAATTCAGGAGCCGTGGAAAAGGTCATATCTTTTTCCCGATTTAACTCTTCATCAGTATCCAAAGTCCACTCGTCCAACTCGTCGCGCATATCAATAAAACAAATTGACTCATTTCCTTCAACATCTTTAACCAACCAATGAAGCTTTCCATTGAAATATACCCCAGAATATCTACGTTCAAAACGTAGCTTGATATACCCTACACTACGCCAAAACCTTGTCCCAAGAGTGTACACTTGAACTTCAGACGTGTAATATTTTTCTTTATTTATATTATGAGTTTCCACTTGATAAATCCTTATCACCTTGTATTCCATTCTCATAGGATCAAACCCAAAGCCATAAGTGACTAAGTTTGGGCAACTTCTTAGCCCTTTAGGCTCAGGAAGTTCGATGTATTGTCGAGTAGTTGGATTGAAGATATAAACAATATCAAGAACACTATTATCAAGAGGCTTATAATATAGACAAAACAAACCATGTATTGAGCCAACTGGATTGATATTAATATTTGGAAAATTGGTTTTGATGTTAAGGTGAAAATTTGGTTCAAAAGCGAGACGATGATAATGAGGTTTATTTTCCAAATTTACAAAGTTGAAGAGACTTGAACGGGAATGATTAAAATTATATATGATGAGGTTGGTAGGGGATTTTGAGAGATGAAGTTTGATAAACTCGGGGTGTGAGATTAGGTTTAGCCAAGATTTGCAAACACTTTGGCAAATAAAGATTGTTTTTGGTGATAATCTTAAGAAAATATCTTCCAAGATTGAAGATGGTAGATTCATGGTTGTTTGTGAAGGATTCGAGTACCCACGAAATAATTCACTCATAATCTAATAAATCTCGACACAAAAAAATAGATAGTCCCATCACTATTTATAATAATACAAAACCTACTTGAGTCGAAACAATAAAACCTATTTCAATATGGATTCTGAATTAAACTGAACTATCCCACTCCTAACATAATGTGGACTAGTCCAACCTGCGGTTTCTATAGATGTAATCCTCACAGGAAAAATACTTATTTGAACCCAATTCGTCCACCAAACTAAGTGCATAACTTCTATCTAAGGTGGGTTAATAATTATTTTACCTCATTTTTAATTCTCAACCTTAATAAATAACATAATTTGGTGCATGGGTTGAGTTCAAATTTTCCACCTCACACGTTCTGGTTTATTCATGGATAAAGAAAGAAGCATTTTCATACCAACATGCAGAGGCTGCCTTTCTTTTTATTTCTTTCACATAGTTTAATTTATTATTTTAGTTTATCGTAGAAAAGAATGCCTTAATTTAATTATCACCAACCCAATGACTGATGGACGACGGTGTGCCTTTTACAAACATTGTAACAAGACGTTATTCTTAACTGAAATTTTTTCCCAACAGAATAAGATGTTAATGGATAAGTATCTTGTATATTGTGTTTTCGACAATGTTGATGAATCAAGAATTGCTCTAAAAAAAAAAAGGTTAAAATCCAGAAGAATTGCTTTTCTTACTCACTGAAAGATTAGAGTATGTTTCTCTACTTTGCTGTCCCCTAGCTTCAGTCTTTGATAAAGTACCTCTTAACTGCAAATCCTTTGAAGTAACACTATTATTATTATCCAAAGGCTTCCTTGAGCAAAGGGTCTATCAGAAACATCTGGTCTCTACCTTTACAAGGTAGGTGTAAGGTCTACCCACGCACTACCCTAACCAGACCTCACTTATGGGATTACAATGCGTTTGTTGTTGTTGTTGTTGTTGTTGTTATCAAACAGTTAATAAATCTTGCCTAATCAGAAAGATAGCCAATTCATGGACCTCAATCTAAATATCCAAATAATGTCAACATTAGAAGCATAATGAAAGTCATTACTGCTGAGACTTTATCTTGATATGGGCATCAATCAATACAACAGGTGGTTACAGCATGAGATCGGGACTAAGCAGCAGAGGGTGGATTAATCTGGTATAATTCAAGCAGTACAAACAAGGAAATGCCTTTGTATACAAACAAATGAGACATAATATCTTCATAAGCAATTGGCAGCAATAAAAAATCTGAATGAATACTTTCACTCATCTACTTGATCAGATGAAAGCGCTGGCTCTACAACAGGAGGTATACAATCCACCTTATACCGCAGGACCTGTTGCAAATCAAAGCAAAATAATCGCCCAAGACGGTTATGTTTCTTTTACAAAAAATTAGGCAAAGTATCAAAGCAATCAATTGATGATGCCAGTGCAGATTAACATGCACTTAAAGGCGACCACAATATAAACTACTTATTTTACTAGAGCAAGTTCTACCAGAACAGGAAAAGCCCATAGGCAACGGAAAGGAGCTGTTGTTTGATACGCCAACAGGATAGGACTGAATAATTCTAAAGGGGCAGTCATAACCTCAATGAATTAGGTTTCAATAATGTATTACTCACCTTCTTGAAAAATGTAGAATAAGAATTATCCCATATGAGTTTGTAGTGTCCAGCTAGAACCGTACAAAAGTTTCCCTGGAAAAAATGACATTAAGGAGGTCCGGTAGCAAATCTACTAATTAAAATAGTAAAACAGCAAAGTATACTCACTTGGTCAGCATCATATCGTCGATAAGGTAAGATTTGCTGTGAGTCGAGCGTTTGATTGACAAATGAAAAAGTTCAAAACCAAAACTTGAGTCAGAGAAGAGTGAAAGAAGTATCTTGTAAATGAAAGAAGATTAATTAAGGCATGTGATGCTAGCTAGTAAACCAAGAAATTGCAACAGACGCACTTTATGACAAAAGGGGAAAAGAAAGTCAAGTTGATACACTTTCATACCGTCTTCTGTCCGGAAAGATTCGTAAACTCCATGCTAAAGCCAATGTCCTATTACAAGAAAAATGAAGCCCAGATAACTTGGTTAAATAAATCTGCTAGTATCATGCCTGAGTTAACTGACAAAACATATGTATATGTATGCAAGAGATCTATCACACATTCTCCAAATATACATGATTGAAAAATCAGCATATTCTCCCAACTGGTGCCACTTATGTGCAGCTTAAGTAGCTTTTGAACAAGGAAAACAGAAGTCCGATAGCAAGACATAAAGGTAATGAAGAGGATAAGGAAATAGTTTTCTTCATGCTTCAAGAGATAGAAATTTGCTTCAGTAAAATTTCTCCTCGGGAAAATCTGTAAGTCAAAAGAGAGAACCCGTCTACTTCATATCAGTGGAAGTGAAAGATTTTAGGCCTGTAAGTTTGGTAGGCAGTGTATCATTACCAAACAGCTGTCAGAGAGGTTAAAAAAGGTTATATGCATGTTGATTTCTTAATCCTAGAATGATGTTATAAAGAGGAGGCAAATTACTGATGCAGCAGTCGTTGCCAAATAAATATTTGACATGAGATGGAGACAAGGTGAAACACGTGTTATGTGTAAGCCTGATGTGAAGAAAGAATCAAAGAAAGCATATGATGTCAAAGATATAATTAAGTAAATAAAATGCACTTCTCTAACAACTTAAGCTTTTAGATGAGACGCTCAACACTTCAACATGGTATCAAACCCATTATCAAAAAGATTCCAGGTGCTCGGCCCCGTGAAAATGAATCAGACCCACATGTGAAGGAACGTGATGAAAACATAATCAAGTAAATAAAAATATGCTCTCTCTACCAACTTAAACTTTTAGATGCGATGGCCACGCATTTTAACAACCATGTTAGCTGGAATTTCTCCTCCTCTACCAAAGGAAACCACTGAAATCTCTGAGTCACATACATAGTTGGGTAAGAAGGAAACCATAGAAAATCCTTTAGGTTTCCATAGACCACAGAGACGTAGCCAAAAGAAGCAGGAGATAACTAAGCCGGGCATCAATTTTCCAACAAATGGCCATGAATCTAAAGAAGACAGTATATAGCATAAAAATCAACCAACACAGAAAAGGAAGCTGCTATAAAAGAAGTTGGATACCAATAATACCCAAATAGGCACATCTATAGGAAGATAAAAGGATATTACCATATCCACTCTGCCTTGAACCAAAGCGAAATCCCAAGCAATGTATGAATTTATGGCGTCCACCGTCAATGAAACCTAAGATAAGATTGACATAACATATATATAAATCAACTGTACATAGTTTTAACAACACCCAAATGAAGCTCTATAATATAAACTTTCAGGTTCTAGGTCATTCAAAGACAAATAGAGAAAATGTATGACTATCTAAGCAAAATCTAAAATGAACATGCTTTGAAATATAAACTTTGTCCAAAGTTGGATCAAAACACCAAAATCCCCCGCAATTGGTTGATAACCAAGCAATATATAGTACCTAGATCTTGTACTTGATTTATGAAAAGAGTAATCAATAAGATTAAGATAACAAGACTCTTGGATGGTCATAGGTAGCTAACTCGCCAAAAGAAGTTCAAAAGGAGTTCTGAATTGAAGTTCAGAAGAAGTACGATTAGTTAAAAGATGAATACAGTGTGAATCACTTCAACCCGAAATTTAGGAGCAAAGGCAGCTAGAAAGAGTGGAGAACGAATTACATTAACAACGATGTGATGCAAACGTATTGATGCAGGTGTGGACACTGAATTCAAATAGAAGCGCAACTTTTTATTTAAAAAATTACAAAGTGCCAGGCTTGACAAATTTAGCAGTCCCATCACAAAAGAATCCAGAATATTTACCAGGAAGAAGAACATCTATTTTCTTTAACTATTTTTGAAAGATTTAGTGATTGATAATGATCTAAAATTTTAAAATTAAGTCAATACCATTCTCAAACTTGTAGACAAAAGATTTGGAGTTTTCATCGTGAACATTCAACCAAAAAGGAAAATATACCACAAACATCAACCATAAAGAACTATTGGGTAAGATACGACTATATAACATTTTTATAGCTCATGAAATAAAAGTAATGTCATTTCAAATACTATCTCACAAGCTTATTTGATCTCATTATACAACTCAGAGAAAATGTTTTAAGAGTATGTACGCAGTTAAAAGATCTATTATGTTTTGTACAAATTTTGTGAAAATTGACATGAATATACGTGCAACACATGTGACCAGCAACTATTTATAAAGACACACACACATTCACATACATACACACAAAGAGAGAAAAAAACTACAACCAGACATGACCTGCTTAGGAGTTAAAAAATGAGCAGCACCTATCTAAAAGGAAATATGACTTGGAGAAGTAATCCTCCCGAGTAAAAACAAACCTCATGAGTTTTTCCTGCTGGAACACTCACTTCCTTGTATTCGTCACTTTTTCTGCATTTGGAAACCAAAAAAAAGCTCTAGATCAAGTTCTGAAACTCATATCAAGTATTGTGTTATATTTTAGTCCAACAATGGCAAAATGTACATGAAACCACCATAGAAAGGAATTTTGGACATACCTGGCATCTAATGCACCAGCTTCTTCCGCAGTAATAAAGAAAGGGGAATTCGCAAATACGTCACTGTAAAAAGTAAGTAAATCCAGTGAAACAAGTACCAAATTATACACGTACTCGCTACACCCTCCGATTCAATGACAAAGTGTTCCTCTTATGATGTGAGTCACTATCTACATGTTTTGGCATACAAGATTAAGATTTGGCTAGGAAACATAGAAAATCCATAACAATCAGTATTGTTAAGGGTTAGATTGAGGCACACTTAAGCCTGAAGCTACGTGAAGCCAAGGATGGGCACTTTGTGCTTGCCTATGTGGCGCTCTAATGCATACAGTGACATCACCTAGGAGTTTGCATTAAAGAGGGCATCAATAAACAATAAATATAATTGAAACAATGATATATTAAGATGTTGTACGCCACTACAGGTGGGGTCACCCCTGAGAATAATTAAGGAATCAATGATATTATCACTTAATTAGAAAAATTAATTGTTAAAATAATATTATGAATAAATATGTTAGTAACCAAACATAGAAAATTAAAATTGAGTTCAAGAAAGCTTATCATTAAAATCTAAAATAAATACTTCAAATATTATCTGTCATTTAAATAAGAAATGTAAAATGGTTTTTAGAATATAAAAAAGGGCAGCCCAGTGCACAAAGCATACCGCGTTTACGCAGGGTCTGGGAAGCATCCAATTCATTTGTTCTAACAATCTCTTCGTTCTTATAGTAATTTCTCTTACATTTTGCATATATATATATATGAACAGACGCAAAGAATATTGAAGTATCAAGCAGAAAACTTAAAATCATTATGGAAGGTTAGTATTACTTGAAGCAAATCACAGAGAGAAGAGAGCAGCCGTAGTAACTTCACCCAAGCCTATTTAAAGCAACAGCATAATTTTTGCTACATGTTTGTAATGTGAATCAGAAAACTTTCTTTCAAATTTGAAAATGTGGGGCTGCAGTAAAATGACCTTGTGCTTGAGTGAACATATAGTAGGACTAGTAGCAGGCTGACACCAAAGGGGAGTTTCTAGCTAGAGAAGGTCCATCTTCTCTCTAGACACGGACCATCATTCAGCAAGTCTAAGTCCAACCAAGGAGTCAAATTTCACGTGCTATCTGTACTAAATTACAACAGCTTGTTTGGTATCTTTTTTATTGTCTTTACCAATAATACAAGCATAAGTTATGCGGACTACGTATTATTTTATGTGAGATAGAACTGGAAAAAGAATACGGGTATTAGTAATTCATAGATTAAAACATTAAAATGACAACACTAACCCTCATAATAGTATATATTGTACACAAACTTGTAATACCTCAAACCAAACATCTAACAAGAAATATCTCTGCATTACAATCCCTACATTACTAATCCATGCATAACTTGTATCTAAACCAAACGACCCTTAATGTAAGTGTACCAACATGACTAGGACCTGATCCAACAAATTGTATCGTTTGTAAAGATCTTTTTTTTTTAAATTGATTTTTGTTCTTTACCAAGTTTGCATTGATTCCAAACGACTACAACCCTTCTGAGACAACTTCTCCATGTGATTTTAGGTAACTCGTCTCCTTCTAACATATGGAGGCAGCGCATTTGGAGGTCTGCGTAGGACATGCCTATGCGTGCTACTTGCACTTTGTGAAAACAGTGGTTATTTCTTATATTGTCTAATTTGTATGACGACCGCACATCCATCTTAACATCTGCATTTTTATGACACTAATCTTTTGGTAGCATTCACTGCCCATATAACATTCAACTTAACTCGCATGCATTTTTTCCCTGAAAACTCCTTGTTGTTTTGATAGTAGCATTCGGGAAAAAAGGAATCTCCTTTTTATGATGATCTAGCTAATGTCTCTTAGCTTTCCTATGCTCCATCATTTTGGGAATGGTAAGCCAAGGGAGGTTTCACAGAGCTGAAATATGTTGCTTAGCAAGAGAAAGTATGGTTATACTAGCTCTAAATTATACATGTAGGAATATATACACAGAGACATTCCTTTAGATGCCATCTCCTAGTTATCATTACAAAAAAGTAGAAAGGAATTCAAAATTTTAACCTTTGAATTTGATAGTAGTCTAGATAGCTCATCTTTGCCTCGAGGCCAATAGCTAGAAGAAACAATGAAAAGAAGGCACGAATGGAGAAAGAGGGAGAAAATGAGTCTTTCCTTTATTTGGTTCGAAAAGTCAAGAGCGAAAGGGAAATGTTTCTCTCCAAACTAAAATTGTGAAACACAAAGGTAAAATAGCTTCCGCCCTTAAATTTTGTTCCTCCACTTTTAAGCAAACCAAAGAAAGAGGACAAACTGTAAGCATTCCCTTTGTTTCTCTTCTGTCCTTAGCTTCCACACATTGTATAAGTTGCTTACAATGATGTGAATGTCATCTAAGAAGCTACTTGAACGTTTTCTCCAAGTAATCATGAGATAAAGATATCATATTAGGAAAGACGTTATAGAGCAATACTTAGACAGAAAGGATATTAGGCTAATCTATACTGATAAGTGATAACATGATTAGGCACAAGCTAAAGATAAGAAAGTATGGTTCTGGAAGCATTAAATACCCAATGAATTTGATGAATCTTTGGAACTCAGATGTGTAGACATCTACTGCTTCTTCCAAGACCGCCATTTGATCCTTTGATCTGCCCAAAAGGAAACACTACAAGGTTCAGGTGAAAAATGCTATTACCCTGTGAAGCAAGGATGCAAACTTTCTGAAAGAAATAATCAAATGCTCCTTGATTCAATCATTTGAAAGTACAACATATAGACAAGTCTTACAGTTTTCTAGCTTCAAAACGTCGCCATAGTAAAGAAAGAAAAAGACGAATGTTGAGCACCATTTTCGTGAGACTGTACAAAGGTGGACCATAACGTTGTCTCTGCTCTTCCATTGGCCTAGAGGTAGACAATTATCAAAAAGCAGTAGCCAGCATTAATATAGTCCGTTCAACTCTTGAAGAATGAGCAAAGTTATGAAGAACATAATCAAAAAAAATAAATATAGAATAAATAAGCTAAATGCAGAGAAAATAGATACCCATCATCATCATTTATTTTCCGAACAAAATCCAACAGAACCTGCAAGATAAAGTACAGGTGAATAGTTTTACTGAAGACCAGAGAATCAACATACTATCACTGGCATGAATATATTTTGAATTGAAACTATTTAATTTAACATTAGGGCTTCCAAATGGCCACTTGGCATCCATGAGGTTAAGTATTACTCTAAACAAAAGGTTAATGCATGAAAACAACAGGCTTGATTATAGAAACATTGACAAGAACATGGTAGGGAAAGGTTATAAATCCATTATGTTCTACTAAATGAATTGCAACATACTTGTGGCACTCCAACTAAATACTTCACCAGTGTCTTATAGACACCTGTAGCAGAACCCAGTTGAGCCAGTTGCCGCCTCCTGTTTGGTAGCATCTCAGCATGAGTCAATATCAAATCATATACTGGTTGCACCATCACAAAGATATGATAAAATAATACTTACCGTTCCATTTGTTGATTCCATAGTAGAGCATATCGATCACGAATACTTCCACCAGAGTTGATTAGAGCATCAACTTCAGCCTGCTTATTTCTCTCAGAACGCTCCCTCTGCTGCCTAATAAGAGTGCCGCGGAAGTCTTGTGGCATGTACGTCATCACTACAGAAGTAATAAGAGCATCCAGATGATAAGAGAAGTCGAATAATTATATTGTAGTTTGGAACGTGTAAGACAATAGCAAGTTGCTGAAATGTACTGCGCATCTCTTCAACTTGGTGCTTGCCTTTGTAGGAGAATCCGGTAACCACATACTGTAATAGTTGACAATAGGCGCAGGGGTACCTAACTTTGGGTAATACTTTTCTTTTTCTGTTAATGTAAAAATTTTCTTAATATGAAAGGAAAATCATGTACTCCTCCATACACAAGAATTTCATTAGTTCTTTAGCTCTGGCTTAGCCAATTATGTATAGAAGCCGGAATATTTTTTGTAAGCTCAAATGCCAAATCATGTACTTCTTGCATCTTCTTGATGCCAGCTATTGAAATCACTTACTTTATCAAAAACAATACTCCATACACAAGAAATATACAAAGTAGAAAATCAAATACAAAAACATATTTGTACAAAGAGCAACCAGTCATTTAAAAAACAAAAAAAAAAAGAAGGAGCAACCAGTCATTTAAAAAAAAAAAGGAGCAACCAGCCATCATACATGACTGAGATACTACATTTACTCCAAAAATGTACCACAATAGAAGTTCCAATTACTCAAGCAAACATTCTTTCAATTCCAAACACCGCCTCTATTACTTTCCTTCTATATTGGATAGTGTACTATCACAATGTTTGAAGCCTGAAAACATAGATCCAACACCAAGAAATAACCTTCGAAGGTCTAAGTGTGCTCCAATATGAAGCGCTGACTATTTGATGGAACGAAAGTAGTTTCATTTCAAATAAAGGAATACATCTCTAATGGTAAATTGGATGAGAAACTGAATATGAAGGACTACAACAAGATGGGATGGCAGAGATAACTGCAATTATGAGTTTTAAGAAGAAAATTCAATTGTTTTGCGCTTCAAGCTACTGTGCAAAGCCAGCCCGATGTTTTCTTCTTTTCTTGTTTCTTTTAGTGTTCGACGCCGCTCCTCACTCCAACAACCGGTGCCACTACTCCCGGACAATCATTTAGGATCACTCCTCCCCAGCAACCATTCATGCGTTGCTCTTTTCTGGAATTGTTCAAGCGTCGCTCCTCGCTCTATGATCGTTCAAACACTGTTCAGCTCTCCAGCGATCTTTCTGGTGTCACTAACTCTCCAGTGACCAATGCTGCACATTTACGCGACTGACACGATTCTTTTAACCTTGATTTTTCTGCCGTTGTCCTGACAATTCAAGTTCTGCTAATAATATCCTGGAGATTTGCAACACCGTATCTCTTTTCTTAAGCAACATTTGAGTTTGTCACAACATACACTATATCAAAGCATCCTTTTCACTAAACATGCATATATGCCAACTAAAAAGATAAAAGTTCTAAATCTGAGTCACACATTCAAGAACTGTTCCCAAAACAATGTTCGTGTTATGAAGCTGAACAAGTTCCTGTCTAGTGGTAATCAAGAACTTCACACTATGATAATTGGAAATGAATTTAAGATCATCGTCATCATTCTCGGATAAAGGCAAAGAAACTATGCCAAGGGCTAGAATGTTCCAAACAAAAGCTTTAGACTCAGTATTCTTAACCAACTCCAAATGGTGGGTTCACACATGAACACTCTTTTGATTATGGTGGTGGAGTGACTAAGGAAGTTGGAATCATGGAGGTGGGGAAAGAGTCATGGAGAGGAAGAGAAGTGAGGAGCGACTAACGTGTGGTTTGCAGGGAAAAGGGGAGTAGGTTGACAGTGGTAATAAGGAGAAGAAAGGAGGAGAGTGGCAGAGCACACTATGTCGATGACGGTGCATTTTAGTGGGGGACTAATGATAGAGAATGAGAGGATAGATTATTTGTTGAGAGTGTAGGCCACACAAAAGAGTGTAGGTGCAGACTACATTTTGATACTTTCGATGAGCATTTTGGAAGCAGAAGTCCGTTGGTGTATGATATGGATGAGGTGACCAACACAATACAAGATGAAGTTCCTTGGTGTATGATATTTGAGGTCGATACTGTGCTAACTGACAACAGCGAGGGTATCAACGAAAAGCTTGAATTATGGAAAACCACTCTAGAGAGTAAGGGTCTTAGGAAGAGTAGAAGTAAGACTGAATATATGCACTGCAAGTTTAGTCAAAATACAAAAAGTGAAATTGAGGTGATATTAGATAGGATTATGGTGCCTAAATGCAAAAAATTAAGATATATAGGCTCATTATTCCAGGAGAATGGAAATACAAAATGAAGATGTTACACATGGAATCAAATTGGATGGTTGAAATGGAGACGCGTTATAGGAGTGCTATGTGATAGAAGGATGCCTAACAAAGTGAAAGGTAAGTTCTATAGAACAACTATAAAACCAACAATGCTATATGAGAGTGAATGTTGGGCCGCTAAAGTTCAACACATCCGCAAGATGAATATCGCAGAGATGCATATTCTAAGATAGATGTGTGATCATACAAGATTAGATAAGATTAGAGATGATCACATCCGCGAGAAAGTTCAAGTAGCACATATCGAGGATAAAATGAAGGAAGGTCATTTGACATGGTTTGGTCATTGGGATCCATGCGACTTAGCAAAAGATAGGGCACAATGGAAGGTAGGTATTAGTAAAGAATATGTTTTACACATTAGCACTTTACTATAAGTCTTATGCTTTCTATGAGTGGTTTAGCCTTTCAAAGTTTTATACATAACTTCTAAGTAATACTTTTTATTTGTATTTGCATAATATTGACATGAAATGATTTAAATGGAGTAACGTGGTCAGTGAAGATTCACATAACCGACTCCAACTTGTTTGGGACTGAGAGGTGTAATTGTTGTTGTTGTTGTTGTTGTTAAGCGTAAGCAACTTAATTTCTTTCGATTATGTAATGCAATTCTAATTTTGTGGTGTGATGCATAAGGGATCTCAAAGCGGTTCCTATATGTTTTTCTTTTTTCTCCTCCTATCTCCACTGCATTCAAATCACCTATTTAGCCTTGAAAATAGATCCTGCTTCCCATGTTTCCCTACTCCCTATGCTTAAAGCTTCCTAAGGTATAATCCATCACCAATGCCCTTATACCTAATGTTTCTTACCTTTTCATCATATCATTTTACTGGAACCTAGTAGTTAGCACAACTCATCCAACATTTGATTCCCCTTTACATAGCGGAGTTCGACTTTAGAACAAACAAGGAGCATTCGCCCATACTGGCTCAAGAAGGAGCACCCAGGTGACGACATTCTTTTACTTAATTATCAGGAATAGAGAGTAATGATGTCTCATAAACTAACAAATCCAGACTAAAAGCAAACAATCTAGATAGATCTGAATATATTATTCATAAATTGGCAGTAGCTCAACAATTAAGAAGCACAGAAAGACCAACCAGTGTTGAATACAAACTCGGAATTCCTTGATTGGAAAGTCTCCAAAACCTTCAATGTATTTCGAAATTTTTCCCCAAGCCGTCCAAGAAGAGACACAAGTTCAGCATCTTCAGCGGTTGACTGCGATTTGAGCTGAAGAACACCAGAGAAGGATGAAACATTTATTTTTTCGAGACAAATACAGAATGTTTTTATCTTTGCTCAACCCTGTGTGAGGAATTCAAGTACAGAAAAATCATATTTTTTGGGAATGAAGCAAGCCTTGGGACAGAGTGGTTACAACTAACTAAGCCAAAAACAAATGACATCACTAGCAGTCAACTGAGGCCTTTTCAGAAAAGCTAAAACTCGAGTTCTGACAACTGTATATCTCACCACTGGTGGCCAGTTGGAGCTTTCCGATAGGAAAAGTATTTCTTCAATCTGTTCTCGATTCTTCCACAAATTCTCATCAACTTTGTGAGGAGGGGGCCTTTCTGCTTCACGGACTAATGAACTTTCTCCTGTCAAATCAAATCAAATGAGAGTTGCCGCACAAGTGGAGTTCACAAACAGATAAAGAAATACAGGACTGCTTTTATTAACATAATCTCATTCTCATTTCAGTATCTGCAAGTTAGTAAGTAGACAACATCAATCAGGGAAAATGCTTTTCAGCTAATCCTCCATAACATAAATCATGGAAAATACTAAGAAAACTACTGAGAGAATTAGTAAAAGAGTACTAAAAATAAAACGAGATTAAATATAATATGTCATTTTCTAGGGGCCAACTTAGAGATTGCAGTATTAAATCAGATTCTTAATTGACCATCTGCTACTACCAACAACGGGGTCAGAATCACATATTCGTACTATAAGGACAGCTGTTCCGCCTGAATGAAGCTTGCCACGCATCAATTTTATGATTAGTAAATGCAACATGCATAGTTCTCTTTATCTTTTAAGGGATAAAGAGTAGTGGGAACGCGAGCGCTATGTGGACGACGACGGCGAACTATATAAGGGAGGCGGCAAGAGAGGTGTTAGGGGTCTCGAAGGGTTACTCTGACCAGCACAAAGGCGACTGGTGGTGGAATAAGGTGGTCCAAGGTAAAGTGGAAGCGAAGAAGGTGGCATACCTGAAGTTAGTAGGGAGCACATGCGAGGAGGAGAGGAGTGCGAACAGAGAAAGGTATAAGGTAGCTAGGAAGGAGGCGAAGTTGGCGGTTACGGAGGCTAAGACGGCGGCGTTTGGTCGTCTGTACGAGGAACTGGGAGACAAAGGCGGGAAGAAGAAGTTATTCCGACTGGCCAAGGCGAGAGAGAGAAAGGCTCGGGATCTGGACCAGGTGAGGTGCATCAAAGACGAGGACGGTAGAGTATTAATGGGAGAGGATCAGATTAAGAGCAGATAGCAGACTTACTTTCATAGACTTCTGAATGAAGAGGGGGATCGGACATTGTGCTCGGTGAATTGGGGCATTCCGAGAGTCACTGAGACTTTAGGTACCGTAGGCGCATATAAGGTCGAGGAGGTCGTAGGGCAATGCGTAAGATGAGTATGGATAGAGCAATCGGGCCAGACGAAATCCCGATAGAATTTTGGAGGAGTGTGGGTAGAGCAAGCTTGGAGTGGCTGACTGGGCTATTTAATGTTATTTTCAGGACGAAGTCGATGCCGGATGAGTGGAGGTGGAGCACGGTGGTTCTGTTGTACAAGAACAAATGTGATATCCAGAGTTGTAACAACTATAGGGATATCAAGTTACTAAGTCATACCGTGAAAGTCTGGGAGAGGGTGGTAGAAGTGAGGGTGAGGAGGACGGTGTCTATATCCAACAACCAGTTCGGGTTTATGCCGAGTCATTCGACTACGAAAGCTATCCATTTTATTAGGAGGTTGGTGAAGCAGTACAGGGATAGGAAGAAGGATTTGCACATGGTGTTTATTGATCTGGAGAAAGCGTATGACAAGGTTCCTAGAGAGGTTCTTTGGAGATGCCTGGAGGCTAAAGGTGTGTCGGTTGCCTACATTAGGGCGATTAAGGACATGTATGATGGAGCTAAGACTCGGGTTAGGACAGTGGGATGCGACTCTGAGCATTTTCCGGTTGTTATAGGGTTATACTAAGGATCTGCGCTCAGCCCATTCTTATTTGCCCTGGTCTCACTGACACACCATATTCAAGGGGAGGTGCTGGTGTATGTTATTCGTTGACGACATAGTTCTGATAGACGAGACGCGAAGCGGCGTTCACGAGAGGCTGGAGGTTTAGAGACATGCCTTTNGGAAGGCGACTCGGAGCATTTTTCGGTTGTTATGGGATTACACCAAAGATATGCGCTCAGTCCGTTCTTATTTGCCTTGGTTATGGACGCACTGACACGCCACATTCAGAGGGAAGTGCTATGGTGTATGTTATTCGCTGATGACATAGTTCTGATCGATGAGACACAAGGCGGCGTTAACGAGAGGTTGGAGGTTTGGAGACAGCAGTGTTGTCAAAGGCGCGCTTAAGCCCTGAAGCGAGGCTCAAAATATGTGGAGCGCTTCGCCTCGCTTTGTCTGTGCTTTAGTATCGCATCAAGGCTCTAAGGCATACTTTTCCTTGCCAATGAGTGTAATCCTGAAAAGGCGATATTAAACAATTGATATTTCACTTTCTCGTAAATTTTTTCCAATTTTTTCGTCCATATATTTGTTATTCATGCTTATAATTATTAGTCTTGGACTACGTATACATATTTTTACTTTTTCTCCGGTTGCGCCTTTTTTCATTAAAGCCCACGCTTTATTTGCGCTTAAAGCCTCAACGGACCTTAGAGTTTTTTTGCGCTTTTCGCCTTTGATAATATTGGGAAACAGGCCCTTGAGTCTAAGGGGTCGTTTGGTAGGATGCATTAGATAAAATAATGCATGCATTAGCTTTTGTATTGATAATACCTTGTTTGGTTAACTTTTTGAACATATGCATTATTTATGCAAGCATTAGTTATACACCATATTTGGTATTATCCTATGCATAACTAATGCATTAGAAACCATGGTATTAGCAATGCAATGGGTTTTAATGCATGCATTAGCTTAGTTAAAGACAAAATTGTCTTTCAAAATTTATGCTTGATTAAAATATACTATTATATTAATGCAAGTTTGAAATAATCCAAGAAAGTGGGAAATAAAGTTATATCCCTAGTAAATAAATAAATACTTTGCATATTTTCTTTTTTATAAATAAATATTACTACAATATAGGTAAACAAATCAAATAATTTTTTAAAACCTTTTTCATATAAAAACATTCCTCAATTATATGTTTCTTTTAAAAAGATAAAATGATGGACTGGTTATGAGGGTATTTTTGTAAACAAACAATTCTTTTAGAAATTGTGCAATGCTTTAATACATCAAACCAAACAATGGATAAGAAATATGTCGGCATAACTAACACCAGCATAACTAATACCAGCATTACTAATACACATTATTCAGCATTATTCTTATACACTGTCAAACGTATACCTGGAGTGCAAGTTCGGCGCAAAGCCGAGGGATGCGGGCACAGAAGTGAGGCTTGAATCACAGGTCATCCCCAAAAGAGGCAGTTTCAAGTACCTTGGGTCAGTTATCCAGAGGGATGGGGAGATAAACGATGATGTCACACACCATATTGGGGTGGGGTGGATGAAATGGAGATTAGCATTTGGAGTACTGTGTGACAAGAAAGTGCCTTTGTTACTCAAAGGTAAGTTTTATATAGCGGTGGTTATACCGGCCATGTTGTATGGGGCTAAGTGTTAGCCATTTAAGCACTCACATATCGGAAGATGAAAGTAGCAGAAATAAGGATGTTAAGGTGCATGTGCGAGCACACTAGGATGGATAAAATTAGGAATGAATATATTCGGGAGAAGGTGGGTGTGGCTCCTATGGATGACAAAATACGAGAAGCGAGGCTCAAATGGTTTGGGCACGTACGGATAGGGGTGGGCATAAAATCCGAAAAATCGAATTCCGAACCGAACCGAACTGAATTAATTTGGTATTTTGGTATTTCGGTATACCTCGGTACAGAAATTGCGATATTTCGGTACGGTATTCGGTATTGAGTTTTTGATATTTCGGTATACCGAAATACCAAAATATTTAAGTCCAAGCCAGTGTTGTCAAAGGCGCGCTTAAAACGCGCTTAAGCCCTGAAGCAAGGCTCAAAATATGTTGAGCGCTTCGCCTCGCTTTGTGGGCACTTTAGTATCACATCAAGGCTCTAAGGCATATTATTCCTTGCCAATGAGTGTAATCATGAAAAGGTAATATTAAACAATTGATATTTTACTTTATCGTAATTTTTTTCCAATTTCTTTGTCCATATATTTGTTATTCATGCTTATAATTATTAGTCTTGTACTACATATACATATTTTTACTTTTTCTCCAGTTGCGCCTTTTTTCATTAAAGTTCACGCTTTATTTGTGTTTTGCGCTTAAAGCCCCAACGGACCTTAGAGCTTTTTTGCGCTTTTCGCCTTTGATAACACTGGTCCAAGCCCAACTCTATTTCTATTTTCCAGCCCAATAAGCCTAAGCCCAATACCCCAAGCCCCATAATTCCCTAATCCCTTAGCGCGCCTAGCGGCCTCTTTAGGCTTAGAGACAACATACTTACATTAGCTTCTTCTACTTACCCCCTTTCCCTTTTCTATTTTCTAACCCTAGAATAGTAGAGGGCGACATCGACTTCACGACCTCGGCGAGCAACGACTCTTCTCCTCGGCGATGGCAGTGGTGTTTCAGTTTTAAGATTGTAACAGTCTAATAGAGGAGTTGACTTGGAGTCTTGGACTGTGTTAAGTGTTTTTTCTGTTCTTCTTAATAGTACTTGAAGGCATTTGTACTTACTGTAGAAGTATTTTACAAGAAGATTAGTGCTTTTAGTTAAATATTTTTTTTGGCCATTGAAGTACTTTTGTTGGGGGTTGGCGACAAGGATTGATCAATTGCATCCTTGAATTTAATGACACAGTACCACTTTCACATGTTCTGTGGTTTCTGCATTGCTTTAAAAACTGAGAAACATCCATATTGTTTAACTTTCAAGATCCACGTACGTGTGTTTTTCATCAATGAGGGAATTGGCTTCAATTTCCGTGCAATCAAATTAAGTGTTATGTTAAATTTCATACTTATTTCAGTGGGAGTTCTTCATTGTTATGTGCAAATTAAGTGTTCTGTGCATCTAGTGGGACTGTGGGAGTGTTATAACTTATAACTGCATCATTAATAGGGACGGTGCGATACCGAAACCATACCGAATAATACCAAACCAAACAAGAAAATACTGAACCGTACCGAACTGCTTTGGTACAGTATTTGGTATGCACAATTGATATACCGAATACCGAAATACCAAACCGTAATTCTTAAATACCGTACCGAAGTACCGAACGCCCACCCCTACGTACGGAGGAGAAGCCCAGATGCCCTGGTAGGGAGGTGTGAGCAGTTGATTTTGGCAGGTACGAGAAGAGGTAAAGGGCAGCCTAAGAAGTATTGAGGAGAGGTGATCAGACAGGACATGGCGTAGCTTCAGATTTTCGAGGACATGGCGTAGCTTCAGATTTTCGAGGACATGGCCCTTGATAGGAAGGTGTGGATGTCGAGCATTAGGGTTGTAGGTTAGGAGTTAGTTGAGCATTTTTCTACTTTGTAGAGGTGTGAGGTTAGTCTGATAGGGTTTTGTTTTAGACGGCTAGTTGTTTTTTTTTTTTTTGATTAGGAGACGGCTAGTTGTTAATGTTGTGTTCACACTATTCTCCCGTTTTTCATTTCATTGTGTCGGGTCTTATCTACTGGTTGTTGTTAGTGTCTTTCATCTATTCTCTGGTTCTTATGTTACTGTCATTATTTCTATTGTTTTCTATTGATGGTACTGATATATTGTTTCTCTTTTCGTCTTCTTGAGCCGAGGGTCTACCGGCAACAGCCTCTCTACTCCCTCGGGGTAGGGGTAAGGTCCGCGTACACTCTACCCTCCCCATACCTCACTTGTGGAATTATACCTCACTTGTGGAATTTTACTGGGTTGTTGTTGTTGTTAAGTGAATAGCACATTTTCTAAGTCAATAAGTGAATAGCTCTTGTAAATATCACTATCCTCGCAATCCTCTATCAGAGTATTGTTGCTAATCATGTCTCGGAAAAGGTGATCCAGGCTATGCAGTAATCCTAAATTTTGCACATCTTCAAACATGCTTAGTATTAGCTAAAAGCACTTGAGACACTTGAAGGAATTCCATGCTATTGGTAATGTTTTAGCCGTATCACTATGTCGTGAAATCTGAGAATAACAGATGTGGATGGAGATACTTTAACTTCTAATAAACAATCCACAAAGACCATTCAAGTGGTATCCCACGGAGATAAGCCTCAAGGGCATGGCATCCACAAAGTTTGCTCGCCTATTTGAGAACCAGCTTAAAAGTTCTACATCAGTGGTTAACATGAAACAAATGCAAAGTTTTAGTGGCTGCCCTAATCAAGTCACCGCATGTGTTCAACGCAGACAAAATACTTCCGAAGATAACCAATAAACTGGTCTCACATTCCAGACCAGCCTCTCAACCCACGCTCCGAAAGAGGGCTCTCAACATACCTCACATGTGGAATAAGAAGCGTTGAATTAAGTGGCGGAGGCAGGATTTTCACCGAGGGAATTCAAAGAACAAAAAAAATACACAATGCAATATACAGAGGCGGATCCAGGATTTGAAGCTTATGGGTTCCTACCGTAATTTTAAATTGATATGCAATAATATCTGGGTTCACAGTTAGATATTTATAAATATTTAGTGAATTTTTTAATATAAATATAGGGTCTACGCAAAAGTTACTGGGTTCCCGGGAACCCGTAGCCAATGCTCTAGGTCCGCCCCTGGCAATATATGCACATCAAATATAGCCAAGGGTTATCATCATATAATATATACACATAAAAAAAAATGACCGTATATACACAACCTAATTTTCCAGCGAAAGGGATTCGGGCCGACCGCCTAGCTCCACCTATGGTTGAACTAAAAACCAAATTATTCAGTAAAATACAACACTCTTCAGAGCAATGTACTCCTTGTTGCATGTGTTGGAGGCTTCCAGCCACCTCAAACCAAAGAGCAAGTGGGTTCCATTACACATTCTCATCCTAAAGGTCCACTATATCCTTGGGCATAACTCTCTCTATGCAATTCCATTACGGACCGCACTGGGTACTGTCCCCTGATATGTATCAAAGACCTTTTTTCCTACTGTATTAACACTTTCAGTCCAATTTGTTCATGAGTTCGATATCAATAGTTGTGAATAGACGCCAAGTTTCCATTTGAATTTAATTCAATAGATGATGATTCTATTGCACTGCTATTAACTTCAAGAGTGTAAATTTGACGAAAAAGATTACCTTCGGTCAAAGGAGAACCCTCATGCAGATCATTAGCCATTGAATAAATTTCATCAGAAAGACGAGAAACATCTTCAGAGAGAGGGGTAAATGGGTACTTATCATAATAAGAAGCCAAAAAAGCTCTTGTTATTGGCATCAGCCCCTCCGTTGACGCCATGTTGTAAGCTTATATGACTAAATAAATAGTTCAGAGGAAGGGATCAAACAATATAACTTAAGCTTCAATCCGTAGAATCTGAAAGCCGGATCGCAACTCAGGGAACTATAAGGAAGAAGTAAAGGAAAGGGAGTGGGGCAATCGGCGGAAAGGAATTTTATTTTATTAGAAGGAATAATTCTGTTGGAATAATGCTTTTGTTTCCCAATTGAAAGGAAAAGGAGTTCTACCGTAAGTAAACCAAACGCGACGGAGTGAGTGTGTGGCGGAGCCCGGGGGGGGGGGGGGGTGTGATTGGAAACCGACACATTACCGAGCAGGACAACATTTATCGCGCAATATTGACATCATGTGTTTGGTACGAGGAAGCAAAAAAAAAAACATTTGTTTTGGAAAATTTTGTTTTTGGTATTTGGTTATTTTGTAGATAATTTTTTTTTTAACTCACAATGAAACACTATAATGCATTTTAAAAGAAAATTTTTTCTAATAAAAAGTAATTTTTGTCATACTCAATACACATATATTGCACGATTTTGCAAAACATGCTCTCTAATGCAGAGTTATCTTATCTATACGTATTTACTTTGTCAAAATACATAATATAACAAATGTAACTAACTGATGATCATGCTTATTGGCGTTATATATAAATAAAATAACGATATTGATAGACTAACAATGTAATTTATACGTAATATACAAGTAGCCATCGATTTAATATTCTCACCAAACCACTATTAGTCTCCCTATTTGACATTTTTAAAATTAATCTTATTATAATTAATTATATGTATTTGATATATTAAGAAATCAAGAAGGTTCACATAAATATCTTAGTTCTCCATTGAAGTAAAATTAGTCATACCTCACAACCAAAGGAAAGCATTGGATAACGGATTTCCACTTATTGATGAGCCTATTTGGATTTGTCGATTGTTCTGGAATTTTTCTGGATGTATATAACTCTAAAAAAATCGATAGCTTTAGATATCAAATTAATTCGTCCATTGTTACAAGGTCATCAAGCTATCACGATAATTATACTTGTTCATAGTTCTGACGATCATCCCAAAATCTAGAAGTGGGTAACTCATGTCAAATCAATAATATTCCCTACCCTAATGCAATCATTGACATTTTGATTGACTCGGTGTCAATGTAGTTCTAATGTTCTATAAAGAAATCGTAAGTGGGAGGCTGATCTCATAGCACAAAGCTTCACGTAGCAAATGTCTGATTCTACGCCTCCAAATTTTGCTGAGTAAGATCAAGGATGATTTGTTGAGGGGACAGATTTTAGGGATAAAAGAACTCTTATTCAAAGTTCTTGATTATGCACTCTTCGAGAAAAAATTGCGAGGACTTCAAATTCAAAGAGAGCTGGATACGAGTTATATGTAGTGATTAAACTTGTAAAATAAATAAATAGTATAATGACATGTCATTAATATATTTGTTATGATGTGTATTTTATCCACATGTGTGCATTGAAAAAAATAAATACTCATGTAAACCTTACAACAACGTTTGTTATATATACTTCTAACCGTGTGAAATGTGCTATGCGTTACATCTGTTTTACCTTGCATGATGATATTAAAATTCTCTTTGTTTTGTATGCATTTTGTATAGGGTAAAATATGTTAAGATACGTGGCTGAGTAAAAGGAAGACACGTGAAATTCAAGATGAGATGGTGACGACCGAACGCAACCACTTTGCTTGTCACCAGAAAGGATAACGCTTATAAGGATGTATTAAATGCTCTGCGCCCGATAGCATTTACTAAGGAATATTCTGCAGCATTAAGAGCGCGGTCCGTTACAAAGAATTTGGCATTTATGTTCACCGTTACATTTTCATCAATGACCTCATAATTGACATTAAAGGAGGGTACGATCCTATGACCTTTTTCCCTAAACATAGCTATAAATAGTGAGTTAAGTGACCATTGGAGAGGACACGGATTTTCTAGCTAAACTTATATTATATTTTATATAAAGTTTTATACAATTTTACTTTCTTGCTCTCCGATCTCATCATTGCTGTGCCCGGAAGCTTTGTTCTCGGAACTGTCATCTCCGTTGTTTCATCTATATTTCAAGGCTAAGTATTATATATTTCTTGAATTGTTATATTATTTCACGACCAAATTAATTAACTTGTCTAGAAACTACATATAAATTCAACTGTACCATTTTACGGGTAAACAGTTTGGCGCCCACTGTGGGGCCTAGACAACCGTGCAATTAAATTGATCCTTACCTTTTTTACTAACGTGTTTTGATTATTTGGTCTTAGAAAAAATCACAAAAAATGGCAGATAACATTGTTAGAGATGCACACAACCTTGAAATTCGAGGGGATCAACCTCATTTCGAGGAGTCAATCAGTAACACCCGCAATGAGGGAAATGACGCCACGCTGGTGCATGACAGAGGGTATCCTCGACGGGTTCGGGAGACTACTCATGATGATGCTGATGAGGAGCATGTAGCGGATGTTGTGAGGGCCCTGCAAGAGTAACATGCAATCATTCTAGGCCATCTCACGCGGCAGGATCAAGTTATGACAGAACTGAAACAGGCACTATCGGGGGACTCGAATAATGCAAACAGATGAGATCCAATTTCTCCCGTTATTCCCGCAGACCAAACAACGCAGAGTGTCGACAACAACACTCCCAGGGGTGAAGTTGGATCTGACGGGGCTGGGGGAGCAGATCAGGTCTTAACAACGAGAACGATTCATTCAAAGATGAACTTTTACGGTTCATGAGGGAAGTAAACTCCCGCATGGATCAAATCCCAGGCGCACCACCGATATTGAAAGGCATGAACCCGAAGAAGTATGTTCAATTACCATACAAGCCAAGTGCGGCACCAGAACTAATCCCGAAGAATTTTAAAATGCCTGAAGTTCCAAAGTATGATGGAACTTCAGACTCACGTGAACATATTACCACCTACACGACGACGGTGAAAGAAAATGATCTAGATCCTCACGAAATCGAATCTGTATTACTAAAGAAATTTGGCGAAACTCTCACGAGGGGAGCCCTAACGTGGTATTCATTACTGCCAAGCATTCCATAGATTCCTTTGAGATACTCGCGAATTCTTTCATTAAAGCTCATGCCAGAGCCGTAAAGGTGCAAGCCCGGAAGGCCGACATATTCAGAATCTCACAAGGAGAATCTGAATTATTACGAGAGTTTGTTACCCACTCCAAAAAGAGAGAATGTTGCTCCTGACCGTCCCGGATGAATGGGCAGCTGAAGCATTCACCAAAGGATTGAATCCAAGAAGTTCAGAAGCTTCCCGTAAGCTGAAGAAGAGCCTGCTTGAGTTTCAAGCAACAACCTGGGCAAATGTTCACAACTGGTACGAGTCAAAGATAAGGATCGGATATGACCAGGTCGGTTCGACATCATCGGCCAAAGGACAGGAGAAGAATAGAGAAAAATCAAAGGATGACTATGACGCGGATAGGCGGACTTCGAGGGGCCAGCTTTTGCCCTACGAGCTTACCGAAGGTTGTGGCAGAAATTTTCGAGCAGCAAAAAAATTCATCATTGATAGAGGGATTGATCGTGGTCGAAACAATAGATCACTTCAAGATAAAGAAACATCGGGGTCTCGAGATTTTTCTTACCTCAGGTTATCAGAATATAACTTCAATGTCAACATAGTGGAACTAGTGTCATCCATGAGGAACATTAAAGAAGCACTATTGTTACAACCCATGTTTTCGTACGTACAAGTACGTCGTAAGTCAATTGATGTAAGCTCAGAAATAAAATCATATTTGAAAAGTTTACAAAGTAAGTTAATCATGTTACCTCGGAGGTTATAAATATTGAAAATCATGAATAACAAGTACAAAGAGGGTTGGAAGGTTCAGAAGCTAAAGGAATTGAAGAAAATAATATTTCGTCGAAAGTTGACAAGTTGGGAATATTATAGCATGTACTTTTGGGGTGATACCAAGGTGTTTAACATGATAAGGAGGTTATGTTATAAGTTATATTAGTCGTATGATAGTCGTGTGTTATGTTTTGAAGTCAAGCGAGTGGTGGAACAAAAGTCGATGAAAGTCATCATAAGTTACGTTCATAAGTTTTACTGAAACTTTGGGTCAAATATAACTGCCATTTTCTCCCAATATACTTAGATTTATGGGTATTCCACCTATCAAATTAAAGATATATGAGTCTATTTTCTACCTCATTAAACCGTTTGTCAATACAATATCAGAGTAGAGAGATATGGGCATTTTTGCGAGACTGCACAGACTGTCACCTACTTGCTTAAACGAGAATCCAAAAATGGGCCAGTTCGGGTCGTCCAAAGAGGCATTTTTAAAGGCCTATACCCTTCATATATTAGACTGATAATAGGTCAAAATAACCATACATAATCTCTGCAAAAATCCTCCCAAAAATTGCCTACAAACCCCAATTGATTTTCTCTCCCTTTCAAGTTCTAATTGGAGTTAAAGCCTAGAGTTTAAAGAACCAAAATAGGAGCTGAGTTATCCAACAAATAAGGTAAGTTTACTGCTCTCTTTCATCCATTTTTTTCTGTTGTAGATGCATAGTAATTCGTTCTATATTTGTAAGAACTCACTGGACGGTGATTGGATGTCGTGAGTTCGAGTTATTCATTTGTAGCGGACTGTTTTGTGGTGCTATTGGGCAGCGTATTTTACTACTATTTTGTGGATTTTTGGAGGAGGAAGGGTGTAGAGAAACTCCACATAAATGCAGGATGGTGGGCTGGTCGTTCGTCATAATATTTTCGGGTTGTTTGACACTACTACAGTGGTGGTTTTGTGTATGAAGAGATTGGAGTGTGTTGGGTTGTTTTGTAGTATTTTGTGGTGTATATAAGGTTGGAAAATAATATATACATGTTGATATTGTTGTATTCTTGTGTTGTTGGTGTTATCTTGAATTTGGAGAAAGTAAGGATTATAAGGAGATGCTGCCCGTTTTAATACAAAATAAGCTTGTCGTTCGTTGTGCGGTAGTTGTACCTTTCGTAACTTAATGATAGTATTATTATCGATATTGTAGATTAAGGTACGAAGAGGCGAGTTCAACTTGGTGATTGGAAAGATTGTGACAAGGTATGTTAAGGCTAAACCTTTCTTCATTTTGACATGATCCAGTAACTACATGAGTTTACTAACGAGGCATAAAGAGAAGTTCGTATTCCTGAACTTATGTACATTATTCTAGTATCATAAGTTA